CCCGTCCGCCCCCCCTTCCCACCGCACCCCCCAGCCCAGACTCCAGCCCTGGACCGCGCATCCCGAGCCCAGCGCCCAGACAGAGGTGAGAAGGGGGGGCAGGCGGGGGACCACCTGGGAGAGGTGGGGGAGGGGGCCTGAGGGGATGCTCTGCTTGTGAGGGACTCTGCCCAGCCTAGAGGACGGGGCACCGCGGCAAAACTGGGGTGGGAGAGCCTGGGGTGACACCGTAGAGCGTTTGGAGAATTTTTTTCATTTCTACCTCCCCCCTCCTGTTTCTTTTTTTCTTCTGACAGTCTGTGTGTCTGTCTCAGGCAACTGTGTATCTCTTTGTCTGTCTCTGCCTCTCCCATACGTTAGAAACATCTCGCTTTCATGAGGTTGGGATGAAGAGGCTGGAGGTCTGCAAGGTAGAGAGGGAACTCCAGGTGCGTCTGAGCGCGGCTGGAAGACGTCAGTGTTTCTGAAAGGAGGGGACAGCTAAGGAGAGAACCCTAGGTGGGGTGGGGATGGCTGTGTGTGAGGTGACAAAACAACGGGGGTGGGGGGCGGCTGGGCTAGAACCCCTGACCTGTGTTGTGACAGATGTGCTTGCTGGTGCATGTGTTTTTGGAAAAGGAGTGTCTTCTGGACAAGGAAGGGGGCTGGAGGGACCAGTGTCTAGTTGAGGCCCTAGAAAGACTCCCCAAGGACTTTGGACCCCCGCGTCCCAAGGGTTGTGGGCAGGGTGCTAAGGAGGAGCCCAGGAGCCCTTGTCTTGACCCTCTGACCTCGGGACCACCGGGACAGCTGGGGCCAGCGGCAGGGAGACCCCTACTGGGACTGGGCGGGACCGCTAGCCCCAGCCTGCCGGTGCTTCCCTGTGGGTCCCCCTCCCAAACGGAGCTGGACCAGGCCCCTCCTCTGGCTCAGACCACCCTGCCTGCCCTCGCTCGCCGCTCTGAAGCCTCTTTCAGGCCCCGTGACCCCGAAACAATCCGCCCTGTGCAGCTAGCTTTGGGGACAGGATTAGGGAACGGGGATCCCATAGAGACTGAGAAATGGAGGTTTTAGGGGGCTGGAGAACTGGGGTCTTCCTAGGATAGCTCTTTACTGTCGGGTAGAGGAGGAAGGCGGGGCGATTTCCTGGGGGAGTTGTAAGGGCCGGAGTTCGAGTGGTTTTCCCTAGGGGGGCGGGGTCCAGACCCCCTCCCCCATTATCTCCCCGGCATCCCCGCCAGGCGGCTCAGACCCCGCCCTTTACGTCACTCTGGGGGTTCCCGGGGGTCCGTTGGCGTTAACCCTTGGGCAGCCAGCTGGGATACCCAGGAACCTAAGTGTCCTGCTGGCTCTTCTGCCCCCACACACCTTCTTTTATTTACCCACTTTCTCTCCCTGTGCTTTCTGGATTCCTTCTTTTCCACCTTGCCACTGGGACCCCCCCCCCCTCCAACAGCGGCCCCCACACACCGGGCGCCTCTGCCAGCTTTCTGGATGCGCTGAGGGGAGGAGGGAAAATGTGTCCCGCCTCTCAACACTCCCCCCTTCACTGCGGCTCGCTCGACTGGGCTCCCGGGCGGGCGGGGGAAGCGGAGCCGTCTGCAGCCAGAGCCTGCGGCGGCGACTTGGGTGGGCCGAGGAGGCACGGGGGCGGAGAAGGCGGGACCGGGAGAAGGGGGAGGGGCCGGCTCCTGGGAGTTGGGGAGCGGGGGTGCGGGAGGGACTCTGGAAAATAGGGAGACACACAAGATGATTCAGGGCTCCAGGTGGAGAACCCTAGGGCCAGCTTCCTGCCCCATCCTGTGCTCTCATCCACACCCCAGGAAAACTTAACTGAAGCCGGAAAAGTTGGCAAAATTTTCCTTTCACTAATGTGAAGGGGAGTCGTGGGTGGGCCCTGGCACGCGTGGGCGAGGAGGGATGTCGCCCCATTTCCATCACGGCTGCACCCCTGCGGCTGGGCAGTGGGGCAGAAAGATGACCTAGTAGGCATGTTCGGGGGGGCGTCTCTTTAGTGTTGGGGGGGTCTTTTGCGAGCCCCCGCCTTCTTCCCCTGGATGAGTCATAGAAGGAGGCGGGAGAAGTGTCCCCCGATCCAGCTGCCAGCCAGCTGTGCCCCCCCCCCCCTCGTGCCAAGGTCGAGTTGGGAGGTCTTAGATGCGGGATCCAGTTCTCCGCTAGGAAAGGAGGACTTTGGAAGAGTACAGTCCAGGCTGCGGAGCTCGGACTGGGTCATGGGGTCCGGGTTCCGCTCCCCAACTTACCCCGCCCTCACCCTAAATCCCAGCATCCCGGGATCACCCACCGCGCCGGCCGGCCCGCTCCCGTTCGTTCTCCACCCTACCCCGCCCCACCCCACCCTCAGTCCCGGGAGATCGGAAAACACGGGGTGGAGTAAAAACTGGAGTTTGAGGAGAAAAGCGGACAGCGGCTCCCTGTCCTCCCTCACTACTCCTAATGGATAACGACTTTGTGTGTTTTTTTTAATTCTCCCAAAGACTTCCCTCACAATCCCTTACCTGTACCCCCAAGCAGATCAAAAGCCTTAGGTGGGTGCCCAGATTCAAACCACCCCAGAACAACACCGACTTCCATCCTTTGTGAGCAGCGGACCCGGGAGGCTCCCTTCAGAAACCTTACCCCGTTCTACGGTGTTTTGCTCCGGACTAGAGAGAGAAGGGCAGGTCACCCGCGCTTCCTCCTGGCCCAGCCAGCCTCTCCGTCTGGGCTGTGGCGAGGGCTCCCTCTGCTGGACGCCGGAGAGACTGAGGCGGACTGTCCCTGACCAGTAACAAATGCAGGGAAAGGAAGGGCTCAGGCTGACCCGCCAGCCCAGTGCTGAAGCCAGACGCTCTGCATGAGTCTCAGCCCGCTCCTCAAAGCTGGCCCATGGTCAGAGCAAGAAGTAATAAAGGTTCCATGGTATTAAAATCACTTGAAGCTCTCATAGGCACAATTAGTCCACAACACTCTCCCCTGCTACACACACAGACCACCCCAGCAAAGCTGCCACCCAGTTCCCACAAAAACCGCCAAGACTGCCCCTGCCTCTTTGGGACTTCTCTCCTTACCTGAGGGATGCTCATTTCAACCTGATTTCCTGTGGCAGATGTCCCGGAGGGGGCTGGGAGCACAGGGGAAGCTCTGCCCGGGTTAGAGTTAGTTATCTGACCTTCCCTGTTTTCCTCCCCCCCTCATAACTTGCAGATCTCCCTTCCCCTCCTGCAGTGTTCCCACACCTTCCTCTGAGACACCATGTTCAACTCGATGACCCCACCGCCAGTCAGTAGCTATGGCGAGCCCTGCTGCCTCAGGCCCCTCCCCAGCCAGGGGCCCCCCAGCATGGGGACAGAAGGTCAGTGCATATGCCAATCGCTGGGCCTTGAGGACTGGCAGATTTCCCACCAGTCCCAGGGATCCCTCTTCTGTCTCCTACCCCTTGACCGTTTCCCATCTACAAAAAGATTTGAGGCCCTATGTAATGTGGGCTTGGAACATGAGGCCAGGCCTTGCTTGGGGTTTCAAGGTGAAGCCTTGTGTGTGCGCCATTGTACTTGTCTCTCTT